AGTTTTTGTTAGGTTTAAAATTGTTCTTTTCACTTAGCCCCCCCCCCCTTTCAATTTGCTTCCGATGCCAATGCATCAGGAGACAATTATGATAAAGTCGATGCAGAGATCAATACAGTAGATATACAAGAAGACGTGGATGTATTTGATGATCTATTAAATGGAAGCATCGCCAGCAAAAACTTACAACAGATTGATGCCTTGAAAAACATTTAAAAAAATGCATCTGTTTGAAGAATCAAGACTTACGACAACTCTTGTTTTGTTTCAGTAACTTGTGATTATTCGAAATGCTGCAAAAGTTTATCACAGCTGAAAGGGTTGGATATTGGTACCTGCATCTAGAAACCCTGAAAGATATGTTGCCGTACTTTGCTGCAAATGGTCACAACAAAAACACACTAAATGCGACCATCTTTATTTATCATCAGCAAATGCTTCACCTTGAGAATACTCATCTTACTCTTCACAATGCCTTTATAACGATGGTTATGATAAATCAAGCACAAAGGCCTCATCTCATTTACACAGGTCAAAATGGCTTGTCTCTTCTAAAATACTTTTTAGTCTGCAAACGCTATTCCGATCGAATAAACAATCTTTCCTGATAAATCAAGAGAACGAGCAGCATTTTATTGAAATGCTTTCCAGAAAACTAAAAGAAAATGCATATCAACTATGACTACGTAAACAAAAAAAAAAATGATGCTAATGTCAGCATAGCAGAAGCTGCATCTGAACACACTTCATTGGTTTAAGATTTACTATTTTTATTGATATACATTAAAGAGCCAACATGTCAGCCCATACAGTTCCGATTAGACCAATGTCGACAATCTACTCCTCAAAATATATGGAATATATAGAAGACAAAAATGTTCTAGGAGAAAAGTTTGGCTTCTTCTGCCATCCCTGCACGCATCTACAGGTTGTGATACAACCTCTCGATTCTTTGGCGTTGGAATAAGTAATGCATTAAAAAGCTTCGAGAAAGTTGTCGATTTCAATCTAGATCTCAGCTTTCAACTTTGAGTAAGCTAATGTTATTTCATGCCGAAATAGAGAAGATTAGAGCAGAAGCCATTTCTTTTCTTCATGGCGGATTACAACACGAAACCTTGGACACTCTGCATCATCGAATTTACGCGAAAGGCTATTTCTTATCAATATATTACCACCTACATCCGCTGCAGCTATTAGTAAATACCACAGTTTCCGTTCTTATTATCAGGCAATGGAATTGATGAATAAGACAGCAGCTAGACTAGATCCCCTGGGTTTGGGAGTTGTCCTCTGGTGGAAAACGGATCTATTAAAACTCATCTGGCCCCTGCCCCAGAAAAATTGTTACAAATAATCAACTGAAATTGTACCTCTAGGATATGTATTTCCCGCAAGCACGGAATCGACTGCATTGAATCTGACACATCTGTTTCTTACTTGGTTATTACATGAAAAAGACATTAATGGTTAATCTAAAAACCAACCTCTATGATAAACGTGATGACTTTTACTTTTCTATCATAAACTTCCCTTACCGATGCAGCAATATACCTTCATCATTTGCATATGGCGTTTATATATCTCAGTCGATTCGATATGCAAGAGCATGCTCTAGGTATGACCAATTTTTTAAACGAGGGAAATTATTGACAAACAAGTCGATAAAACAGAAATATCAGCAGTCTCGTATAAAGGCATCATTTCGTAAGTTCTATGGTCGATACAATGACCATGTCAGCAAATACAATTTATCAATGAGTCAAATGATGACTGCCGTTTTTTATACTTATTGTTAGTCCATTCTTTTAACATTGGATTAACGACGCATTTTTTCATTATCTACCGATAATTACAATGTGCACACGACGGGTGACCGGTCGGCAGAGGATGCTCACTCTTCCATGGCATCTGATCCAACTCTGACGCTTTGGAGGTCCGTGTTTGCTCTGCTCCTCTTTTGTATTGTTTTATGGACTCTTAATTTTGAATACGGTTCGTTATCTCATGTGTTTCATATGTTTCATGTATGAGGAATGGGAGGATAACTGTTTAAATAGATCTAATGAAGAGGACAATAATGACCAAATAAAAGAGCTCTTTTCCATTACAAATGAAGAATTACAATTCGATTTTTCATTTTGTTTGATAAAAAATATATTTGAAAAACTATGTATATTTTAGGCCGATATTTTGATTAAAACATTGTGAGAATTTAAAACGAAGATGTACATTTTTTCTCTCTTGTAAATAAGTGGAAACGTAAATGGTATGTGACTTTACAGAAAAAGAATTTTCGATAATCTACTTTTAAACTATGCAGCTTAAAGTGTTGAGGAGGGGAAGAAGAAGGGGATACTGAATCAACAAACATAAAATAAAAAATGATAATGAATACATCTTATACTTTCATAAAATACCTAAAATTTATGTCGCAATTAGTTTCAGGTTTCACAATTTTCGTGCTAATTTGACTGGAATATATAACCAAGATTTTCTCAACACCGTGTTTTACCGTAAATTTCGACAAAAAGTGGTGATAAACAAATGATGGCATAGAAGAAAACCCCAGTATTATTTCGATGAAGGCAATTGTAAGATATTTAGAAGATTAACATAGAAGAACCTTTGGTCAAAAAAGCATTTATGACATTTTGGGAGCGTGAGGAAGAATACGTACTCTATTTATGTTTTACAATACGTCGAATTTATTGCTCCTGTCATGGGATATCTGGGTTATATGAAGTTATCCCTTTCTCCAACTCATTCAGTATTTGCCTTTTGTCGGGACTGTTTTCCAGACCTTCTTTCCGTGGTCTTGTATAGCTGATTTTAGCAATAATAGTTAAATTGATAATCTTAGACGAATTTATCAGATGTTTATACGCCCAACTTACGAAAGAATTTATTCCTTTCACACAGAGAATATTTAATTATTAACCGTTAATCCAATTCCATGTCATACTTGTGGACAATAAGCTTATTTTATATCTGTGTATACTGATGTCTTGTAAAACAAATTTCAGTTTTATGGAAATTGACAGGTATTTTCAATTGAAAAGTTTTATCCATGAAGTGGAGACTCTACATCTTCACCGTTTCAACACCTGCGTGGCGCAGAGGTTAGAACGTCTGCTCTAGCGTCGCGGAGTAAATTGATCCTCACGTTGCAGGTTCCAATCCCACTGTGGGACTTGGAGAGTATATAGGCCCCGTGTCGCAGTAGTCGCTAGCGCGTAAAAGATCCCTCCCAGCTCACTGGTCCTGAGTGCCGAGTATCGGACGAAATTTTCAGCTCTCCAACGGAAAGTGGTTCCGTCTCCATAAGAGTGAAAATTTCTCGAGAGGGACTTAAATAATATACAATCAATCAATCAAAAAACTTATGAACATATAGGTACTTTATTATATTTAATCTGCAAAACAGAAGAGCATAAAATTAATCAACAGATACGAGGGTTGATCCAAAAGTAATGTCACAACTTTGATAAAATTGCTATAAATTGACGTAAAGCAACAAAATTATACATGAAGGAAGCTTTATTTATTTCAAATCAGACCTAAAAAAATTCAAAGGAATATGATGTATACTTCTCAAAATATCGGATTTTAAACAATGCGCGTTTATAATAGTCGCCGCACCTAAATATAACGTCATATGACGGATACACCCCGTCATACTTTTAAGCGTTTCCCCTTCCTTTCGTTAAAAAATATTTGTAATTCGCAAACACTTTCATCAGTTCCACTTTCTTTAAGAATTCTTGGTACTATTATACACTAACTCTTTTCATAATTAATCCCTCTGTCAAAATTTTTTGAACAGTAGCATAAGATAAACTTAAAATTTCACATGTCACTCTATACGCCTGTCTTTTTTCACAACGTCAGACACCACTTAACGTTTCCGTCCGATCTCCTTTCTTTCGGTCTTTTTGTCCTCTGCTATTCATTCAGTGACCAATCACCCGCCCAAAATTGCTGAAACCATCTATCAAGATGTCTCTTATTTACATTCTTTATTCTGTAAGTCTGATTGATTAACGAAAATGTCGCTAGTGATGATTCCCATATTTTGAAGCAAAAATGCATTACAACTCGTCGAGCCTTTTTTTCCCACTTCGACAATCCCTTTGCTCAATTCAATAGAGTAAAACAACAATGTTTATGATCAAAAATACCAATGCTGTCATTTAATTTTCATTTAAAGACTAGAAAATGACAAGAATTATGTCTTTAAAAAAATTGGGAGATTAGGTACTTTTTTAAAATCTTTTTAATATGTTTGTCGTTTTTATTCCAAGAAAAAATACACTTTAAAACGTGACGTTCCGTTGTGACGCGGCGACACCCCCTATGCTCTATGTTTTAAATATCTATAAAATAAATTCAAATTAACATTATTAAATTAAAATTTAAATATTAAATAGATTTATATTTGTGCATCTTTTGGTATATTGTATTTGATAATATGACGCCAAATATAAAAGATATGGACACTGTGACATTACTTTTGGATCAACCCTCGTATCTGACCCACATTAGCAAAATAAAACTGACGTAAAAATTTATAGATTTATGGTACTTGTATATCAAGACACAGATATTTCTCTTTCAGATTTTTTTTTTTTAAAAAGACCATACATTTATCGTTTTCTTACTATCAAAGGACTATCAAAGGCTAATTTAAAGTTTTAGTAATAGGAGCAGACTCAAAGTCAAATAAAAGTACTCAAAGGTATATTCTTTCCATCGCCAAAAATACTTTATATCTTTTTATATATATAATGATCATCAACAAACTGTATTGCTCTAAAAGAGGGATCCCAGGTGGAATATCCTAACATTTTTCAAATATTAAAAGTTTTTTTTTTAAACTGTCTTCTCTGAACAGTTTTTTTTAAATCGCTGATAACCTTTCATGCTATAAATATTTCCGTCAGGTAAAATTGATATCCGTATAGTTAATCGGCCATTTTGATCGATGTGAACAAATAGTCGAGTATTTATGGTGCAATTGAAACAAACCTATATCATGTTTGTGAAAACTAAATCATGTCCAAAAGATGTGGGTGAATGGAAAACTCGTGAAAAGAACTTTAATTGTTCTTATCCAAAAGAAGTTTATCATTGTTTATCTGACGGATACGGAAGTTTGGGAGAAACATGTATCAAAGGGCTTGCAAGCTGGGTTGAGAAAGGTAAATTGTTTAAAACGAAAGTATGTTAAGAAGTATATTATGTAAATTATTTATTATAAGAAATAGGATTTGCCTGATTTGATGACTAAAAAGATAAATCATAGTATGTTGTAATATATTATAATTTAATGCGCATTATAATAGCATATTAGAAAGATTTAATTGTCAAAGACTATCGGAAACTACGGAAGCCCTATAGTGTAAACCAAAAATACTAGTAAATAAAGAAAAAACGAAATTATTAGATAAAGAAAAAACGAAAGTATTAAATACGAAATCATTAAAATAATTTGTTTTTCTTTATATATTAATTCGTTTTCCTTTATATTTTAATCTCGTTTTTTTTAATTTAATAATTTCGTTTTTTTTATATGTTAATTTAATTTTTCTTTATATTGTAACGTGATGATTTCCACAAGAAAGGCAAATGTTCTATTTACCGTTTATTTACATATATATACACATTATAACACAACACTTATATTGTTAGACATCAATACATCGGTCCATCTGCTTAAAACAGAACTGACATCCATTTGCATTAAACTCCACTGCAGAATTAACTCATTAAATTCAAGGTTCCAAGCCAAAATCATAAAACACCGATAGTGACCAACCTTAATCAGGAATATAAACAAAACCCCCATATTCCCATGAGAAACATCAGCGACCCCAGATTGGACGCTGACAGACCTATCCCGTTACCCACTAGAATAACAGTGCAGAGCAATAAATGCTCAGCATGCATGATTAAAAGATAAAACAAATAAATTGTATTAGTGAAACTCTAAATTATGACATTATATTAATTTTTTTTTTATTTACATTTCCATTGTATATAAACAAAATTCCATATAAATTGCTTGCTACATAGTGGTATATATACAAAGGATTTTAAACTCACACACACACCCTCCCTTACATTCACTCACACATATCGGATTTAACTGGAATTATACAGAAAAAATTAAGGCTGCTTTTATAATTCCCTACTTCAATTGTTCACCAATCATTAAAAAGCGATTATCAAAAGCAAACATACTTAAAGACATTAAAATTATAATCAGATCAAAATAAACATGTCAATTTGATTCAAAGATTTTCTTCCAGGAGTCCCATTTTTTATCAAAAAATGACAGTTTAGAGTTATTAATTGATACACACCTCTCAATATTATATTTCAATTTTAAATGATTTATCAATCCAAGAAAATTTGGTTTTTTACATTGTAATAAGCAAGTAAAAATATATTGCTTAGTATATAATATAACAAAGTTTATAATTATGTTATCTTTAGTGAATGGCAATTCACCCAAAATAATATTTTTGAAATTAAAACCAATTCTATTAGTAGTTGTTCTATAGATATGCATACTCAAATTTCTCCATAAATTCACTACATCATAACAAGTTACAAATACATGTTGAATAGTTTCAATATCCTCTTTACAAAAGCTACATGAATCAGATGTTTTTATATTAATTTTTTTAAGATAGTACCCGACAGGTAGAATTCTATGAAGAAGTCGGTATTGAAGCCATTGTACTGAAGAATCATTTGTTGTCTTGAAACACACTCGAAAAACATCTTGAGTGCATATCTCATTCACTCCATGAGAAGACAACTCTGAATTCCACTTTGAAATTGCTGTAGGCTTTAAAACAATTTTTGTTTAGGACATTATAAATAATTTTTGAACATTTTGTATTCGAAAAAATATATTCAAAATAAAAAGGTAAATAAGGTAGACAACTTTTGTTCAATATTGTTCTCTTAATAGCCATATTTTTAAAACATTTTGCAATGGCACTAATAACACTATTGTACTGCATTACATTTACAGTAGGAAGATTAAAATTTTTTTGGAAAGCAGACTTTGAAAGAAAAATGCATTCTTCAGACAGAAAATCTCCAACAGTTTTGACACCTTTCTGATACCAATTTTCTATAAAAATACTCTTATTTTCAATCTTAATGTTTGAGTTGTACCATATTGGAATATTACAAGCCTTAGTTTTTATGTCCATGTCATGTTCTACCTTTTTCATAACATATTTCCAAGAACTAAAAACATCCAACCAAAAAGGGTTATTCTTTGACATTATGACATTAGAAATGTATTCATCTCCATAATCTAAAATTTGTTTTATAACATAATTTCCATTAATTGCCAGGAATATATCAAACCATGGTTTGTTTGTTGCAGTCAACAGTCTTTTGACCCAAGTGCATTTCAAGGATTTCATAAAATTGTCAATATTTACCATCTTTAAACCTCCAGACAGATTATCCTGAGTAACTATTGTTCTCTTAATCTTATCACATTTTGATTTCCATATAAATTGAAAAATATCTTTATTTAATGAGGAAATTTTGTCAATGCTAGGTGCAGGAAGAGAAATAAATAAATGATTCAGTTTTGGTAATATTAGGGTTTTAACAACAGTAACTCGACCAATGGATGTTAGTATTCGTCGATTCCATTGTTGAATCAATGATTTTACCTTAGGTAGAATTAGATCATAATTTATGTCAGTTATTGTTTCTAAATCTACTGAAAAATTTATGCCTAGCAAGGAGAAGGTTGTTGACCCCCAATCTAACTTCCATCTCGGGTGGTGAAAAACTTGGTTTGAAAATTTTTTTGAACCAATCCAAATAATTTTTGTTTTAGTACTGTTTATTTTCAGCCCAGATAACCGTGAAAAAAAATCTAAAGTGTCAAGAGCTGCAAAAAGTGATTTTGGTGAACCATCAAGGGCAAGCGAAGTGTCATCAGCATATTGGGAAATTTTATGTTCTTTCTCCTGAATAATAATGCCTTTAATGTCTTTATTTTGTTTCACAAGAATAGCAAGGATTTCAGCACAGAGGAGAAATAAATAAGGTGCAACAGGATCTCCCTGTCTACAACCTCTTTGAATATGTATTTGTTCAGATAAATGTCCACATTGCAGAACAGATGCTTTAAAATTTGTATTCAAAATTTTGATCCAATCAATGAATTTATTTCCAAATCCAAAATAATTAAGTACTTTGTAAATAAAAGACCATGATATTGAGTCAAAGGCTTTTTCAAAATCAATAAGAACTAAGAGACCTGGTATATTTTTCGACTCAGTATATGACATAAGATCATAAATAAATCGTGTGTTTTCCCCTATATATCTACCTTTGATAAAACCAGATTGTGTATCTGAAATAAGGGAATCTAAGGTAGTCTTTATTCTATGACTTAGGCAGCCAGATATAAGTTTATACAGCACATTCAATAAAGTTATCGGTCGCCAATTCTTTAAATTATATTAATTTTGCTTTTCTTTATTTAATAATTTTGTTTTTCTTTATTGAATAATTTCGTTTTCTACTTTTAATAATTTCGTTTTCTACTTTTACTAATATTGTTTTTCTTTATATATTAATAATTTCGTTTTTCTTTATGTATCAATTTCGTTTTTCTTAATTTAATAATTTCTTTGTTTATTTTTGGTTTGCACTATTGGGCTTCCGTAGAAAATTTTGAACCGGATATAATTACCACAAGTTTAACGAATCGTTAAAAGTTTTACCTAGTTAAAACCATTTACCATTCTGTCTTTCATACTACAGAAGTGAAACTAATAATTAGAAAAAAACGATCAGTATGTACTTGTCCTATCTCTTCAAAGCAGGTAACATTGTTCATGTTCGTAGGGCTCATTATTTGAATTTTAGATGACTAGAATTTAATTTTTCAATTGGTTATCAAACTTACACATATAGATCTATTGCTAAAGGAGTAAATTCTTTATAAGTATCAGTATGTGCCAGTTCTATTTCTTCAAATATTCCCAACAATCAAAATGAACATTATTAAGGCCATCATCGAAAAAAAAAATTGTTTGATGTAGGTAGGTAGGACTTCTTTTTTTTTTTTTTTTTTTTTTTTTTTTTTGCTTTACAAAATTGGGCAAAATGATTTCCGTCATATAAATTACAGACTCAGAAATTTACTGATGTTTTCATTACACACTGGATATATATATATTGATTTATAATTTATTGCTAAAAATTTTCAATTAAAAAGCATCCTAGAGAAATTATAAGTGCTATGGAAACTGCAAAAAAAAAAAATTCAAAATTCAAAATGCTGAAAAAATGATTGGGAAGGAGCAATTTTGACGGGTCGGTCGGAGTACATCAAACAAATCGTTTTTATTGTTGGCCTTCCAACACCTATACTGGAACTCAAAACTCCATAAAATCCTTACAAAAATATGAACAAAACGGGTTTCGGTAAGTGTTCTACCAAGCCTCTTTCTTCGCTCCTCACTAGCAGTAGAAGTGAAAATTCAGGAGTACTGTACAACAGAAATTTGAAAAGTGGTGTAATTCAGATGTGAATATTAAAGAAAAACTCCAAGGAACTTTAAAAAAAACCCAATATTTACCAAAATACATAAAATCACATGTACGACATTTCGTCACTTAATAAAACCTTTACCCACGATGGATTGAAGTTCGGGCTCTATGATATCAAAGACAGCCTCTTTTTATCATAAAAATCGAACTCATAAATATCTTTAACTAGTCCTTAATATGGTTGGATATATTGACAAAAAACACTGAACATGTTAAAATTGTATATACGTTAGGCCACAGAACCATAGAAACTACTTTGACGTAGAGGTGTATTTGTCAACTCATTCATGAGAGCAAGTAATTACATTTGAAGACTCGAATCTCTACGTTGATTACACGCTGGTGACTGTTTATAATTACGAAATAAATGAATACTGTGTAATTTGTATTTTAATTACGTGTGTTACAGCACATGGTTTATTCTCTTAGTCCTTATGATAAATGCTTTCTTGTTTCAATGAACAAAGTAACTTTAAAGTTACGTAAACAATAGAATTGTGCTGTTCCTTTTTACAAGATTACTGTCCGGAGTACAATAGAGACACCAATAATGTGAACACTGTTCCCTGTCATGGGACAACTGACTGTCCAAGTGAAGTATTCAAATCCAATGAGGTTTATAAATGTAAGTATCAACTCAATAAGGATCTATTAAATTTATCTACCTAATAAAACTGTTGAACACACATTTTTGATTCCAGTGCCCATTGGAATAGTTAATTACCACTGAGAAACCTTTAGATATAAAAATCCAATCGTACAATGTCGTTTTTTTTTTCAAATATAAATGAATACATATTTATGTTCTAAATTCACCAGATCAAACGAACAAAAATTATTTATAAATAAAACTCAAAAACACTTTAAATAGGATGAGCTCGCATGCGTGAGTGCAACAGACTTTTATAAAGTGTATACAGTATACAAAGCACAGTCTTTAGTTTAACTTCTGAAATCCATATCATTCTACAAAAGAGAAAGATTCAAATAAAGCGACAGTCAACATTAATACGAACAACATGTACGAAATAACGATCCTGGAAAAAGTGGGTGGGGCGGGGGATTAGTCTGTTGCAATGTAGCAGCGAACTTCGAATGACTTAATACACCCGAAAATCTACCTTATAAGTGACTGCGTAGCACGGATTCAACCTATTCACCCGTAAACAAATGAACAACCAATCGATCTCCTTTACCGATGGACTTAATCTGCATACATTACAAATACACGTGTTTTACCATAACTTTTATAAATATATCTATGTTCTAAATTCACCAGTTCAAATGAACATAAATTATTTATAAATAAAACTCAAAAGCGCTTTATATAGGATGAGCTCGCATGCGTGAGTGCAACAGACTTCGACGATAAAGAAAGCATTGGTATAAAATTATTAAAATGCTTATGACCCCGCACCAGATATCAAGACTTAAAGTAATCCAATTTTTACGTTTTTCCAGGCCTTGAATAATTGAAAATTATCATAAAAATGTATCTGAATTCTTAATGTGACGCGTATTAAATCAAAGTCATTTTTCAAACTTCATAATATTATAAAGGAAAATAAATATAACTTTTCAGGGATGCAAATGAATTCACCTATAGGATGCATTTTCCAATTGAAATTTTTTCAACAATTATATTCTTGTTAAAAAAAATTATAGGTTTTCAAGAATTTGAAGAAAACTGCACATATTTTTATACTTGAGTTCTGCGGTACCTTAATTTCTTCTATTTACTACACATTTGTCATTATGCAAAGTTTATAAAGCATTTGCTATGAATGCAAAACTTCATAAAGCACTTATAAATTCATATCAAACTTTGAAAAATTGGTATAATTTAAGGCTAGATCGAGGACATTTCTATAAATATGTTCAAAGAACTTTCAATCACATTAAGGTTCATAAATTCTCTGCTCACTCGTATAAAATGTTGCTTGAACCTTAATGATTTTCCAAAAAGAAATGTATTTATAAGTAGAATACAAGTAATTGGACAAAAAAAGACACTTCAACTTGCAAATCTATATAGGAATATTAGACATTTAAGTCATTCAGAGTTATTTCTCTTATCAGGGTATCAATGAACCTTAAGATACATGAAATGCAATTTGTTGTATATAAAGATTCAATTTCAAGCTTCCTTTTGAGACTTTCATGACGTTTTGAATAAAACATTAAATTAAAGATTTATCCTTCCCGGCTGAAGAGTTTTCTTTTCTTTTTATCATAACGTCTTCAGATGAACTCAGAAAGCCTTCTACGTTGATTTTGATTAGTGAATCATACATATCAGCATTTGCAGTTGAGAAAGCAACCCCGTTAAAAAGCTATGAAGAACAAAATTACTTATATGAGCTTATGATTTTAAGTGCACACAGAATTTCTGTTTCTTGTACAAGACTTTGACTTCCAAGTACAGAAGAATAACTTTTACAATACGAAATAAATTCAAATACAATCATAAATTATACTCATCTCATCAAACAATATTATTAACCTTTTCTAAACATCTCTTGATTATTAGCAATAGGACAAATGAACTGAACTACACCTACCAGAATGGAAATATTAGTCCTCTCTGGTTTTGACTAGAGGTGATTTGTCCGAACTTTGATTTTAAACGCAGCTTTGGAAGTCTTCCAACAAATCCTTCAATGAAAGTTTTGCAAAACATCCAGTCTGTCTGTCCTGACTAAAGATATTTGCAAAAACTTTGCTTCAAAAGTTTCAAAATCAGATTGTGATTTAAAACTGCTTTATTATTACCGAAACATTTTCTAAACGCTCAGAATCCAACAGAGCTTGTGCCTATAAAAAGCACCGTTACAATTTAGCTCCTTCACAGAATAATCAAGTCAATGCCATGTTAGTAGTTAAGCTATTAAAATATAAATACGTACATACAGCAGTTTCGCTTTGTCATTGCAAATTTCAATTTTTATGTCTGCAAATACATTTCAAAACAAATTGCAGTATACTTTTATATATCTTTTGAAGTTTATATACTTGTATTTAAAACGAGTTTCCAGCTTCAATTAGATACTATAATTTTACAAATCTTTAAAAAGCAAGGAGGCAACTATATCTAAGGCCATGCCAACTTCGTTGACAAGATACATATTGATTTCAAAGAGACTATGTGAATGATACATCCCGTCTCTGAATATATAAGGCCTCATTCTCCCGGACCATACCAATATAATGAAGATATTCACAGACGATGAATAGCTAATGTGTCAGATATGTCAGTTCCCACCAACTTTATAAAATACTCAAATCCAAAAAAAGGAATCAAGATACTTACAGGTCTTGTAAAGGTCTTTGGCTAAATATACTACATTCCAAAAATGCAAACTTTGTCGAAAATTTGAAAATTTCAAAAAAGACTTGTACAAACAATATACATCATGTACCATTCCAGCTTCAACCTACTTACAGAATTTGAAAGGGTCTTGCCTGTATCACACTACATCTCAGACCACGCCAGCGTCTTAAAGCTACTAAACTGAATTTTATATGGCCTTGTCTGTATCAAACTACATCTCAGACCATGCCAGCTTCTTCAAGCTACTTACAGAACTTGAAAAGGGCTTGTCTGCATCATACTACATCTCAGACCATGATAGCTTCTTCAAGCTACTTACAGAACTTGAAAAGGGCCTTGTCTGCATCATACTACATCTCAGACCATGCCATGTAGCTTCATCAAGCTAATTACTGACTTTGGTATGGACTTGTCTGCATTACATCAATAGTAATGGGTCTTGCAAAGATTATCAAGATATCAAATTTTGAGTCATATTTTCTTCATAACAGATAGAAAACACTAAACTAGGTCATGACATATGCGTAATGAAGGCTATCTTAAAAACTCTCTTAAACCAATACTCTTAAAAAGAATGGTCTGAACCGAATCAAGCTATCATATTTATCAGCATCGGAATACATAATGTACAAATTATGGAGCATCAATAACATGCATTTACCTTATGTTCCTCATTTCTACGTGTTGAAATAACGTCCAGAAATAGGAGCATAAAAACCACTGTGGCTAAACAAAAGTTTTATCGAATAAAAATTTTACCTAAAATAAAACGATGTTTCATCAATTTACGAGTTAATATCAAGAACTATATATTCAATTACATTATTTCCAAGATTTGAGACAGCTTCAGAACAATGAACTAGCTATATGCAGTTCTATGCATCAATGTGTCACAGTGCAACGTAGAATTGTTCAAACCATATGATGAAGTTCAAATACATTTAATTTCCAAAATAGTGTGTCTCGTAACTATGAATTAGAAACATTGGAACTTTGTTCATAATTGCTACCAAATTCGAACCCATCATCATATTGATATAAAATTATATATACATGTTCCAGGTACATATGTGTATATATTACTACCATGACTTTACCAGAATTATACCCTATCTCAAGTTACAAATGTATTTGTTTTACAGAGCTTAATTCAAGCTGAAAAGCGGACATTAATCTGTGTCCAAATGCTTACCAGATTTTCTGTTCTGCGCGTGCCTCTATCTGATGTTAGAGTCGTAGTCGTAGCTTAGTAATAATGAAAGAAACAATACTGGCAGAAGATAAGACGTTGACAAACGTTTCAATCACTCAAGGTTTCAGAAATTACAATTAAATTAACAGAATGAATTTTGCTGCCTTAATGTGAAAAACACAGAGGGTGCTTATATGGTCCTCTTTACATTATCGTAAATAATCGAATAAACAGTGTTTAAAATTCAAATGGTTTTTTTTTTCTATACAGTTGTTTCTTTTTTTTTTTTTTTTTTTGACTTTGAGAAAGTCGCAAAAAAGAAATTACCAGTTTGTAGCTGCACCCCCACAAAAGGTCCAACGTACGTGTCAGAGATGTCCGGAACCTCGGCTCTGTTTGTTTGTGCATAATCTGCAACTATTTCTGCATGACTTCATGAGTAGAGGCTAGGCTCGTCTAGTATAAACTGATTTCTATCTCCGATCTAAGCGAACATAGTCGTTTGCAATTTGGCAGCGAACTTCGAATGACTTAAAACACCCGAAAATCTACCTTATACGTGACTGAATCATGCGTTGCACGGATTCAAGAAAGAAATCCGGACCGCTATGAAATACGACCGGACGTACTAGTATTTCATAGCGGTCAGGATTTCTTTCTTTAGTAGTGTTCTTAAAAATTTCCAATTCAACATGTAACTAAGTACAATGTATGTAAATAAATAGTGTTTAGTAGTTTAGTAGTAGTGCTAGTTGTTGTTGTTTCTCTTTTTCCTTTGTTCTTATGACTTTTTAACTTTTTTCTTTGTCCTGAGGAAGGGACAGGGCGTCCCGAAATTTTGACAATTTTTATTGTTCGTGTTTTTAGTGCTTTATATATATATATATATATATATATATATATATATATATATATATATATATATATATATATATATATATATATATATATATATATATTTTTTGAATTCAACATTCTTTTTTTCATTAAATTCAGGTTAGAAGAAATACTATTTGAATAACTTACCTTCCTCAGTCATTATATTAAAACGTTATTATTGTTGAATTTTAGATCCAGTTTGTGTACAGGAAGGGTATGTATAGTAAGGAAAAGAGAATTGACTCATAAAAATGATAGAAAAATATTAGTAAAAACCAAATATTTCCAATGGATGAAGGGCTCTACATGAAAAAAAAAATGTCTTACTGTGGTCTGCATTACGGCATTATTTATATTGAGGACATTTCATGAGATAGCACAATTTATTTACATTCATAGAATCAATGTATGTAATTTAGATTTATTCAGTTATCTCTAATACTATACTACAGTAATAGACACCACACAATATGACACTTCTTCCATAATCGGATGTTCTCCTAGAGAAATACATAAGTGATAACAACTTAATTTCAATAAGATGCATTAGGCATTTTATTGTCAAATCATCAAATGCGTTTATGTCCAAAACTTGAAGATGACCATTAAAGCAATAACTTTGTTATTAACTTGCGTTGTTAAAAACTGCTAGGCTAATACTTTAACGTTACATTGTCTAGCAATTGCACCGATAATAAAAACAAAGGGTCCACATTTATTTTGAGGGATCGACAGGGGATTCTTACCCCTCCATTGCGCCTGATTCAACATCTGGTGAACTCAGAGATACGAAACTTTAGTTTAATGACATTTTAGCATTTTACTGATCGTTGTCTGCAATTTGTACAAGCATATTTCGTTCAATATTTATATTCATCATGTGTATTATTTAAGTGTTTAGTGAAAACCATTTCTAAAAAGACATCAAATGAAAATTAACTACATTAGAAAACTAAACGTGTATCACCTGTATACTTTGTCAATCTTCAGCTTCTGTAGTCCTTTTTTCTATTGTATTTTTCTGCAGAAAAAAATACTAGTAAAATTTGATATTTCTCTATGAATTTTTTAGAGCAAATATCAAAATTTATCAACAAAGTCAAATTTACTCTCCTAAAAAAGAAGACAAAAATATAATCCCTGGAAAATCTGTAATCCAATTGTTTAACTAAGGATGCATGCATTTTTATATATAAAAGTACAACAAATATCCCAAAAACAATAAGGTATGAAATCAAATTGATTAAATATAATTGAGCAAAGTTCAGAAATTCTCTGCAATTTTTTAAAATTTAGTTAGTTTTAATTTTGTTCCCTTTCGTTGAATTTTGTAAATGCTGAAATATTTTGAATAAAATAGTGCACAGTCTTGTTTTTTTCTGTTCTTTTCCATTTAAGCATGACATATGTAGCAAGTTTGATATTCAGGTCGGTTATAGTGCTGTAAATTCATGATTCTATATGTACAATAATCGAGCTCAAACTATGTTTGTTTTCTTTCTCAAAGCTTGCAAACTTATGCTACAAGGGCACAAATACTTGCATTAGTATCACTATATTTAAAGCAGTATTCACCTATAGTTTATAATGGATGGACTATGGGAAATAGTAGATTAGTTTCGAGTAACATATATTCATGCTGTATAAAAATGAAATTTGTTTCATGATTACTTACGAATTATCGAAGATGAAATAGAAATCATCGATATACACTATCAAGTTGTTCATTTGTTTTCTTTTCTTTTTCTTATTTGCTGAAGTACAACTTTAATTGATGGTGGACCCTCATCCTTGCCGAAGGATATCATAGCACTGAGCGTGGTAGGGGGAGTCCTTTTAGTTGTCCTCATTGCGGTGGCTCTTCTATGTTACAGAAAGAGAAGATCACGTGAGAAGAACTGTCAGCTTTATTAAATATCAATTACATAGAAGATCAAAGATAATAAACCAGCATTAAATTTTTGATAAAAAAGCTTCAAAATATTAATAAATATCAAAAAATAGAGAACGATCGTGTAACGTAATGATTTATCAGATTTGCTAATGCTTTTTTAGGGTTAATCGTGAAACTAATATTTTCCTGATCTTGAACATTACTCCTCGTTAACATTATTTCAATATCAATGACACAATGATTATTGTATTCATACAAAGGATCTTTTATTTCAAAAGTTATTTATAATCGAGAACAAATATTAATATTTTTACAGATATATTTGATTGAAATTATATCTAGAATGTTTTTCATTGTAGAGCAAACCCGAAATAGAAAAGAAGAAAACATCCATTTACTATCTCGAGGTATCATTTTGTAATTTTTTAGAAAATATTTTCAATTGATCAAGCAAACTCTAACAATTTAGACTGATTAAAATAACTTTTATATTTGTCAGAGATACTGCCGTTCTACAAAACTTCAATATTCCACAAAGCAAATGCTTTTCTTAAAGACGGTGGTAAAATTCTGTGTTTGATTGGAGACTGGGGATCTGGGAAATCGACAACAGCCAAAGAAGTTTATATGTCCATTACTGGAAGAACACCAGTTGTTATAGAGGACATACTGAAGTTTGATGTGAGTACTTGTCAGGACTCTATCATCGTAGAGGAACCTTTACCAAGAGAGAATATTTCCGATATAGAAACAAGAGATATTGTGGAAAAGATAATCTCTGTTTGTAAACAAATACAGACATCTAATGACATATTTCTAATAATCACTTCAACTGAGGAAGCCTGGGGAAAACTTAGAGGAAATATTAAGGATTGCGTAGAACAAAGTAATGATTTATGTTGTCTTGATATAAATTATAAGAGTTTAACAGACGTAGACCGGATTCAAATCCTTCACACCATCTTCGAACATTACAATCCAGATATACCGTTTTCTAATGTAGAACAAACTGCATCATCAAAGATGCAGGCTCAATCATTTGGTTTCCCAGAAATTTGCATATTGTTGTCAAGATGTAGAGAATTTCAAAATAGTCCTTCTGTGTTTCTTGGTAGACCATTGCGTTATTTAAGTTCATATTTAGAGAAAATGACTAAATCTCTAGAGGGAAAAGAAAAGTTTGCAATAATGGTATTTATGAGTGTAAATGATATGAAAATAGATGTTAATGAATTGAACGAGAAGCTTAGGAAAATATTTAGAGCGTGTGGTCTCAATGAAGACAAAATTGTGCAGTTAGAAACGATTATACCAAAGGAATTCGTTTTACAGGTAGAAACGTCAGTTTATGTGTTACAACATGAAATTATAAAGAGAATAACTCTCATAACATTTGGAAAGTTTTACTTCTCAGATTTACTTAGGTTTTCTTCGAAAAAAGATTTGGTAGGTTGGATTAAGAAGAAACATATTTTTACACCATTGGTGGAAGTTAAACAAAAAGCGTCGGATATAAAACCAGTTCTTGAAATTGATGAGGAACAATGGATTGAATATCAGGAGAAAATGGAGACTACATCTCAATCAAGATGTGAGAAAAGTGAGAAAACAAATGACAAACATGATATTGACCTCTAACATTTATATTCTTTTAATGTAGATTATTCATCTGTTAATAAACACTACTCATGTTGAGAAATGAAACAAACTATAGTTTGATTGATTGTATGTTGTTTTACCTTGTCACTGATATAGACACATAACTATAAACCGGTGAAAGGGTCAAATTTAGACCTATGCTTTGCACTCAGGGTCTTTGAGCACTTAGGAATCTTCATGGTGCCAACGCCTGCCGTGACGTGGAGCCTGAGTTTTTAAAGTCTCAACCAACTTCAAAGTGCCAAGCAGTGACGGAACAGTTGTTTACCTTTTTATCGACTTGACTTAGGTCTATCGCAGCCGAGATTCGATCTCACGATCTTCCAATCACGGAGTGAGCGCTCTACCGACTAACCTTCCGTGATTTACAAATGAAGGAAAATGCATTCTTGTTACTGTACAGACAAAATGTTGTATTTTCATTAATTTATTCCCTATAGCTATAAATTAAATTTAACTTATTCTTTATATAGAGATTAAATAAAGTTTGGAAATATTCTGTACTAACTTTATATTTTTTACAATGTTTCGATATGACAATCAAAATGTTGGGGGTTTTTTTTTCGTTCAGAGGAGATTTTTCAAGTAAAAACAAAAACATAAACGAGGTTCACTCCTGAGCTTTTGAGCAGATTGATATCTTAACCTATATTTCTAAAAATTCGATGTTAGAATTATTACAACAAATTTGGATTCTACGATGTCAGTTTACTGTTACTTTTTAGTTATAACGCCATGATTATATTCAAGCTAAAAGAATTGTTTAAAGAAACTACATTTTTGGCTGTATGTTTTATTTAAGAAAAAGATATTTTTTTCTTTTTCGAAATATATAATTTATGAAAGTATGTTAATTTTTTATTCCTATTTTTCCATGCATTCTGCAGAGTCTCATGCAGAGTTTTTTTGTGCGGTGGACTGTTTTATACTGGTCCTAAATTATCTATTAAATAAACAGCCATGGATTCTATCATCATATTTGATAAATATAGCAAATATATTGTGAAAATGAAGGAAAAAATATCCTAATATAAGCTTTAAATTAGCACTATTTTACCAACATCTAAAAATTAACATCTCAGACCCCCAGTTTGAATTTTTTTTTCTGAATATATACAATATATTTCAACTTTTCTTCCCAAATTCAGTTAAATGTCATTACTTACTTACAATTTTTTGCTTGTTAAATTTAATGCCAAAAAATGAAAATGTTTGAGTGCAAAAAAGTCAAATACGTGTGGAATAATTTGGAACAATCTTTCTTGTCACATATTTAAATGTGTCTCTTTAAGGTGAAAAAAGACTGTATTAGCTTCCATAATTTATTTTAAAAAAATATATTGGAAGAAAAACTTTTGGTTTATGTGTGCGACGTATTTACAGTGTGAAAGGTCAAAGTAATTGCTCTGTAACGACAGAAGACGCGCATTTACCCCAATTTTTTTGTTTTGATTTTTTATAAAACTATATGTATAAATTTTAGAATTATACTTGATAAGAAATTCTCATTGCTTTTGATGGCAGGATCCAGCCTCCCTTAAGCACAATATTAGTGAAAAAAGCAACTATCGTTTTCTAGGGTTCAAATCATATACATTAACACCCCTACTAATGTGTTCGGAACCTTTTGTTTTTCGGGTTTTGCAAATTATAAAATCCGATGAGTTCAGAGTAGCTCTGACAGTGGCTCTGGTGAGCGTTAGCGAGACTTCAGCGAGATAGGGTAAATTATTCACGGAAATGTGGCTAGGAAGTGACTAGCACGTGAAGACATGGTAAACAGAAAAGTTATGTTGCGTTTTAGTTTCACCACCCTATAATATAATTCTGTAGAAATGTACTTCGATTGATCTTTCTTGAATTCATTCAAGTTTAAATTATAAGTATTCTCTATGATACAATTTTCTGCTGTCATGAATTAAAATTTCTTTTTGGAACCAGGACTATATTTTTTGGCGTCAGATTAGCAAATGACGCACCATGTGAATTTAACTGACAAATCAGATGAATGAGAATTGCATTTTGGGTTACTATACAAATACTACAGGAATTTTTCTTTATTGTACTATCGGTGAATACAATACAAGGTGGATTCTCTGGCGAACACACGTGATCACGAGTAAAGTTATGTAAAAAAATGTTTTGTCCATTTAAATGCATACGAGAAGCTGCTCGTTCTCCTTACCCTTGAAGTGTTGGTGTTCTGAACTTGACACTAGCTACGTTTACATTTTATTTAACATATATTTCTCGAGTTATCAACAAATTAAAAATTCCCGTGATATTTTCATACTTTCTAATAGTTTGCATTTTGTTCAAAAGAATTTTTTTTGTAATCCATTGACATGATCATAGATTGAACTAAACCACGTGTTCGAAGTAACATGTAAACATGAATTTGGCGTAAATTTAAACATATTCGATCAACAATTGGTCAGATGCTCGTGGTAAGATCCTCTGTGCGCATTAATAGCAATTGCCATATAAGGCAAACAAAGGTTTGTCTGTGTAAATGATATCACACATTTTTTTTACTAGCGTATCGGTCGCTAGTAAGCTGAAATTTTTGCAGTAAACTATGATAAGATGTATTAAATATTATTTAACCACTCCACCCCCTTAAGCCACCCATTTCTATTGAAAATCATGAAAGTTTTTCAGAAAGGTGTGGAAATACATTTTTCACAGGACATGCTTTCAGAAGAAACAGACTATAGCAATTTCCTGTTTACTGCCAATTTTATTTATAAAACCGGTTATACCCTATAACCTTTGAATAGGTAAACCTAAACCACGTGTCTAGAATTTAAATCACAATAACATTAGTAGGGATTATTAAAATGAACTAGATGTTACAGTAAAAGTCGGTTATAAAATTGTATTTCAGATTGCGATCCACATACAATACAATTTAATTACATTTTTTTTATTTTTTACGCAGCACAGTCAGAGCTACAAAGATAAGGGGGGTCTTATTTATTTGGAAATATTACTATGACGTCACACAAAACTATCATGTCTTCAAATTACCTCACAATTTTTTTGGCTACACGTAATTGTAGAACAGATCTATACTATATCAAATCTAAGTATAACATACATTTTTTTCCGTTCATCTCATCCCACACAGCATGATATAAAGGACTTCTTGATTGCAATGCACGTGTCAAAATGACGTCATATCGTAAAAGTGGACGCATTTTGTATGCAGTGGGAGGCTGATAAAGCTACATTTTGTATTCTGTTATAACATGTATAATCATACACAATTATTGTTGATTTTTGAGGTCAATACAATGATTTAGCCATCTAAGGAGTACAATATTCACCGAGCCCGAAGGGCGAGGTGAATATTGTACTTCGAAGATGGCTAAATCATTGTATTGACCGAAAAAACAGCAATAATTGTTTTATTATATGATTCACTGATAAAATGATACAGCTCATTACTTGTTTGCATTTTATTAAGTCCTAGCCAAATACAAGAGAGAAACAGAATTAAAATGTTAATAAACCTTACCAGTCGAATCAATTTGAAATGTTTTTATAAATCAATTTTAGTTGCCATGAAAGAAATATATAATGTCAGTCTTTTTTATAGGATAGATTTTGAAAGGAATAAGTATTATCAGGGAAAACTGACTGCCAAAAAGTAAAAAAAAAACTTGTTCAGTAAAAGTGTTGGAGGGGTACCACCCTCACCTAAAATATATATTCGCTTATGTTTTGTTCACATGAAAATAAAAATCATAGTCGTTTAAATAGCTTTTTAAACCAATTTGTTTGAATTTGGAATTTCCGAATCTATTTTTAGATTAATGTAGAGGAAATGAATCCTTGTATTGACCTGGAACGTCACGTGCAGGTCAATACAACGTAATATTTTTCTAACATAGTTGGATCTCAGCCAATCAGAGAGATGAAAATTATTCAATCATATAATAAAATAAAATATTATTTGCAGATATATCAGGTCATTAACTTGGATGCGATGTCTATTTTACTATTTATTGCAAGGACTGTCCGTATATTCTCCAGACAAGCGAGACTGTGGTATATTTGTCGTAGATTCAATTAAAAAGTAACAGAAGGGTCGTAATATATCGATTTATTGCAAGAGCACACCCTTATATGCCAAGAATTTTTACATATAAACTGAAGATATTTGAAAAGTGCTCTGAACCTAATGTTATCTTGCAAAATAAGTTTATTATATCTACATTAAAAAGAATGGAGGAATATTTCGGTGACTTTGTGATCATTGCTGAGGTAAACGGTAAATCTAATCTTGTTACTCTTCACAAGACCTCGTCAAGCATACTTCGTGGTTCTTATCACTAAGCAGAATCAACAACAAAGAATCAGAGAACAGAATAATCAAAGGTTCTGCAAGTTTGTTAAAAGTTGAAATTTGTTTAGAAGATTATCCGAACACACACTATATATCCCCATCAACATTAAAGTCTTCTGAAACAAACTTTTGAATATGTACCAGAGAGTTTGAGTTTGTTTCTACAGGTTTTGATCACAAACATTGACAGTACATTGTAAACATCCTCCGGTGGACAAGCAGTAATGGAATTTACAAGACCCTGAAGTATCAAGGCTCCACTAAAAATTGGGCTTGGCATTCAACTCCACAATCGTTTTGATTCATAATTTACTAAAGGTTTTTCCTCAGCTAAGTGGTGCTTGAGTATGAAATCAATGATGCATAAACGACAGTTTGAGGGTCTACACAAAAGAGTGATGTAAGTGGCAACAACGCGGTCTAGTTTGTTGCTGATAAATAATAAAATAATAGCACGAAATGATTAGACATGACAGATAGATAGACACGAAACGTTCCATGACATGAGTATCATTGTTGGATTCACACGAAAGCAACAAAAGGAAATAATCACTCTGAGAGTTGGAATTACGACCAAAGAACTAAAAAAAATCAGAAATTGATTTTCACTTTTGTAAGCTAGACCAAC